TGATGCAATCTGGGGCAGTTCTTTCAATAAATACATATGAGGATGTTATCCATATACTTCAAATATGTTCTCCACAGCCTCACAAATTTGCTTCCCTTCCTTTGCTCCTCAGACAGACTTTTATCAATATACACAGAAGTGACTGCTCCGACTGCGCGTGAATTTTGGCTGTTTCGACAAACAATCGCGTCACATTCAGTTCGGCATCATCCTGAAGTCACGTACAACATCCCAAAACATACGAGAGCACTTGTAAGAAAAATTGTCATCACTCCCACAACAGAGCAGGACGCATAATCCACGGTTATGTCTCAGTGACATCTAGTATGATATGGCGAAACTGAAGGTCTAACTATGTCAAAATACAAGGAATTGCTGCAATGCAAGTAGATGCATAAAAAAATTGAAATTAAGAAGATAAAATTTATTGTGGAATTGAAAGCGTAGCTACCTTCATTTCTCCACAGTTCATTCTAAACTTTGCTTGATTCTTGTCATTTATTGCCATTTTGAAGCAAATCATTCTCATACCCAAATTGTTTCACTCAATGCTTGCATATTTGCCAAACGATTTCAGGTACTGATAATGTCAAGCATATAATTACTGCATTTGCCAAGCACCTGCTTTGCCATTTTGCGCCCTTTCGTTGCTAACAATTTTAATTTTATTCTTAATCCGTCTATCTACCTGGGACTGATAGCACATCGTTGTGGAGGAGACCACATTTAAGGAGGTGTCAATGCATCCATCAGTTGAAACGGGGGGCAGTCGCACTTACAGCACCCATCAGTGGATATGCTTCAACATCGTAAACAGTAACAATTTAGACAAGTCTTTAATAACCACGAGGTCGGTCTTCTAAGTTATACTTCCAACCCCATCATCGGTTCTATTTCCTACCCTTGTTTAACCAAGCAACATCTTCATATATTGTTGAACGCTACCAATGCTGCTGTTTCTGAAATTTACCAATGAACATAGGTTAGGACTACCATTTAACCACCACAACAAGTCACTTAAATACATCACCCTCCACAGTCCTCGGTTTCACAAACAGTTCAACTTCATCCGACTTGCAGAATTAGACAGGTGGAAACCTGCTTGAAGAAGACGAGAACACGCATTCCAATGTAAGTTCCTTGTTACTATGTGTGTATCAGTAGTACCACATTGCGGCAAGGTGGAAACCCGTTATCAGCATGGAGGGGGAGTTGAAGGCCACATACTGCACGAGGCGCCAGGACACTAAGCCGAAGCAAAATGAGACAGGGAGTGAGGAGTTTGCGAGTTTCAACTAGCAGCCTAAGCAATTACTATTGACGTGCTATGATCCGTGCTTTCCGCAATTTCTCCTCTAGTTCTGTCATCAACAGCACTTCGTCATTTTGAAAACTGCCAGTGTGTTAGAAATCAGTACTGTGCGTCTGATATCTGTGGGAAGGAGAAGGAAATGATGGCTAAAGTCATCGATACGACCTGTCGAGTTCGAGGGCTCTACTGCTTAGTCCTCTTCTCCAACCACGTTGAGAGCGATCACAAGGATATATCACCCATACAAGGTCGGAAACTTGACCTAGGAAGACAATAACGCAACTGTAGAAAGAGTGACTTGTATGTTATTGCATTAATCTCAGTTGACAGATGCACACAGCCTCTCCATTCTCCTATAATAGGACTGCGTTGGGTGCTTTATTCAAATCGGTGCATTCGATTTTACGCCACTCATCAAGATGACGTACAACAGTGCGAGAAGGCCACGTGAGTGCATGCAGTGGTGTGTAAGTAGGAAACGAGTTTCCTCCACACTGATAAGAGAAACCTCAACAAGCAGATATGCACTCGTTCGTGCAGAAGACTTCGAGCATCTCACCTTACGCTTATTGCACGCACCTACACTGAACAATCAAACATGCTACGATCATTCTGCTCATTACAACTCAGATGCCTGATGAAAATCCATCCCAAACACAGCCGGACTCGATCAACTTGCCTAAAGAAAGCGAAGTTCTTCTATCACAACGCAATATTGCATACCACATGCATACCGTATGAGAGCAGAACCAACACGTGAGAGCGTTTGCACGTAGTGGAATGAGGAGAGTGAGGTACTGCCTCATCTCCACCTCCATCACATTTGCATTTCCATGTACCATGTGCTTCTTTCAATTAAACATCAATCACGCCAGTTATTATGACCAATCACCCATACAGGCACATCCCCTTGAATGAACTGAAGCACATTGCTTTCAACCGTGGCAGCATCGATGCATTCACCTGCACTTTCCGCATTCCCCATGCAACTTGCTAAAAGGGCCTTTCCTTTCAACAATCCCTCTGCACCAGGCAGTCTTTGACGTCAAATATCATCTCTCCTTCAGGCCGCTGATTCTGAGCACCTTCAGATGTGGCGAAAATTAGACGTGCTCATGACTAGAGGCATCGTGCGCCCCAGTGCACAGACAGCAACAGACGCACACGACTCGATTTAGGGTACCAGACCAGACACCCTGTCGTACAAATCCTCCAATGTCCACTAAATAGGTCTCAGGGGCAAACAACTGGATCAACGGAATTCCACACACGCAGCTAACACTGACCAGAATGAAAAGAACAACAAATGATGCAAAGCACGTCCTTTATTTCGCACGTGTTCACTCGCAGAGCGCATAACTTGGCACTACTCCGTGGTGGTAAGTGGAGTCGCCTCGTTGGGGAGGACTGTAACACAGACAAACGAGTATATGACTATCACATTTGCATTTTCAAGACCAGTGCATTTTACACACAACACATGGCTCAGGAAATCACACCCAACTGCCAATCGTGCAAAATTCACATGGCATTGTCGGTGACTACCGAAACTACCCATGCGGTGCAATGTTTCCCTTCTCAACCATTTTCACTCAGTCAAATTTGCCTCCTATCAGTGCCCACGCCACCACTATTCAGCACTACAATTGCAAACTGCTCACAGCGAATTTCCTCACCCTACTACGCCATCATGATGCATGGAAAGGCATTAAACAGGCGCCACACTTACCTGAAACTCACAAGTTTTACCGACGTAACAGCGAGTTGTCGCATTTCACTCAAACAATACGAGCCAAATATCTGCAAGGCAGAAAAAGACCAATGGAACAACCTATGAACGGTCATTGCGGAACAGGTTCGGTAAGCAACGGAATACCTACTGAGGTGAGATAGATGAATGTGCTCTAGCAGTGCGTCCCACGTCGGGTAGTCTACGTAGCATTCCGTGCAGTAGAAGCGTTTTTCTGTTTCCTCCGTACCTTGGGCTGCAGCACATATCAAGTGGGCGTGAACTCAGGAGGAGTTCGGGCAAGACGCCAAAGCGCTGACAGAGCGGCAGAGCACACTGCATTCAATCGGACTCAAACAGGCACGAACTCACCAATGTGTTCCTCAATGAAGTGACTGAGAAGCAAATCAAAGCGTTGGAATTCCCCATAACACAAACAACACGCGTTGTGATTCGAGGCTATTTTAGGAGTCAATGGGAGGTGCTCATGTCACTTTCAGTGAAGAAGAAAACACAAGGCAAGAATAATGGAGAGGTTTAACGAATTCCCTCACCCTTCTGATGCACCAAGGTCAATCCGGTGGTTTCGCGAAATGTTAAGCAAACCGGACAGTAGCCATGCAGGTTTACTGAAACACGTCAAACATATTTGAAATGAGCTGTTTAGGTCTTCTTTGCGGTTGTAAAAGTCATACAATACAGTGGCTAACGAAAACATAGATTCGCCCGATCCGACCGCTTGGTGTGCATGCCACCAACCATAACAAATCAGGAGACGGTACACTCAGTACTTTTCATCTAATAATAACCTCGCGTGATATCCCTATACATATACATGTGCATGGGTATGTGCATGCATACACAGATACGAATATCTGTGTAAACACAAAAGTGTATGTGAATGGAAATGTGAGTGTTAACGTGAACGTGGCCTACATTCATGCTCACGAAGAGAGTGCGCTCGAAGTAGGGTGTTTGTTCTGAATGATGCGGAGCATACTACACATTCGTAGGAGTCCATTTCGATGGGAAGCATCTGCAACAGAGCTTACACTGGGTTTAGTCAGAAAGCGAAACGACCGACTGGATCTGTCCTCAGCCCTGCATGTGATTAAAACGCGGAGCAGTACAGCTCGCACACTTGAACGAAAACATTGAGTAGAACATGCCCATGAGTAAAGTTTGGCACACTACATTCGCTTCTTCATTGTGATTACCGATTGCTTAGCTACATCTCAGCAAATCGTTATTTTGCCTTTTCATACAAATGCTTTTCAAATGAATAAAATGTTTTCCTTCCTCGGTTATAATAAGGCGAAGTAACATGAG